GCTACAATACCAGAGACAAGGTCCCATGATTCTATTTCCAGCTCCCCAGAGCGAACAGTAGAAGACTCAGGAACAAGGCTAAGGAATACTCTAGAGGTTTGTTCTCCAGGCCTCCAAAGAAAGGACAAATTGAAGAATACCAAAGTGGAGAATATAGTCAAAATAGTCCTTTATTGATTACCACGTGCTAGGCATTACATAATCCCTCCACAGCCCTGGGAAGTAGTTCCTGTCATTCTCACGAACTCCATTGTACAGACACAAGGCTCAGAGATGAAGTCACATGTCCAAGTGGTCTGCGTGGCAGGTCAGAGCTCCGGCCACCCCCAGGCTCTCAGTTCACTGGACAATGCCTTTAAGCCAGTGGGCCACAGAGCTATTTGCTGAGAACAGAAACCTGGATGTCTGGGTTTACAGGCTACTTCGTGACCAAGAAAGCAACACTTGCCTCAGTTTCTCCACACTGATTTTGGCAAAGGACTTTCCTTTTGCTCTCTGGCAGGAATTCCTTCTCTAGCATTCTTGCTTCCTTCCCAGCTCCCCAAGGGCCCGGAAGTCCTCCCCCACCACACCCTCCAAGGTCCCCCGGCCACCTCACTTCCCAGCACAGAAGGTCTTCTGGGCCACTGGCTGAACTCCCAAGCCAAAAAGCCACAGCCTGGAAAGGAGGGAGGAGAAGCTTTGGAGGCCCCCTCTCCTCAGCCCAACTCCAGGCAGCTGGGGTTCCGTGCTATCTGGGGGTCTGAGACAACACAAGGAGGCTGTAAATTTGCTTCTCTTTGGATTGTCAATATGAATTGGCTGCCAGGAGGAATCCACAGAACAGATCCTGTCTCCACCCCTCCATCCTCTCATCACAAATGTTCCTTTTCAAGCCCTGCCTCAATGGCTGCCTGCTTAGAAAGTGGATGGAGCCCCTGAAAGCCCAGGATCACAGAGAGCTAGGCTGGGCGGGTGTGGTTCACTACCTTTCTAGGTTCTCTGGCTGAGGAGCCTGGCTTGGGTTCCACATAGTGCAATCCACGCATGAGCAAGGGCCAAAAACAGGCAATGTGCTCAGGACTTGGTGGGCACCAAGATGTGGGAGACCTTCCATATGCCCTTCTCTGAGTGCCAGGGCCCCTGCACTCCAGGGTTCCTGTGGGGACCATTCTAATCTGTATGAATGCCCCCTGGAGTTGTGGAGTGCTCAGTTTCCACAGCTGTACTTTGCAGCCCTGGCAGGGAGGGGCCTAAAGCATGTACATAAATGAAGGCAGTGCAGAAGGATACAACTGCCTGGTGGGAGATCTGGGAGGGCTTCATGGAGGAGGGAATCCTCGAGTCTGGGCTTTGAAGAAGAGGGAGAGACAGTGTAGATGGTGATTCTGGTGGAAGGCAGTGAGCAAAGGATAGGAAGCCGCAACTCCCTGACTAAGCTCCTGTCACAGAGGGAGTGGTAATGAGCAGAGTGGGAGAAGGGGATGGAAAGTTAGGTCTTAGTTCTGAGGCAAGAGGGAGCCACTGCAGGTTCCTTCTGTGGAGTGACATGGACAAGGCAATCCCATGGGAGAGTTAATGGAGTGATAGGGCTAGGGATTAATTGGTAGGGTTGTTGAGGAAGTCCTCTGCTGTGGCCCCACAGCCCAACAGGGGTCAGCGCCATGCCAGGGGAATCCAAACAGACAGAAGGAAGGGCACTGGACAGATGGACCTTGCTGGACACTATCCAGACGCATCTGAGCTTAAGTCGGGACCCAAACCAGCCCTCCTGGAGGATTCTTAAAGCTTCTGGATTAGGTGTGGATGGGCCACCATCTCTCCTCTACCTTCCCTCCAAGCTGCAGTCACAGTTTGCTCTTCAAAAACCCCCGGGGGCGGGGACCAGCCGGCACTGGCCCTGCCCTGCAGACTCCAGCTTTTGCAGGCTAGTGCACACAGCTGGCCAGCTCCTCCCTCCAGGCAGACAGGGACTAGCTAGGCCTGACAAGCTGCGGTGAGGGGAGGAGCAGGTCTCAAAGCCTGAGAGGCTCCTCCCTTTCCCCAGGCTGTGTTCACTCCCACCTCCTCATCTGTCCCTGGCCCCCTTTCCATGGTTAGGTCAGAGTGATGACGCAGGAGTCAGGGGCCTGGAAGAGCAGAGCTGGAGGAGTGGGGGCGGGGGCGGGGGCCGGGACAGAACGCACGTGCAAACATGTGTGGACGTGAGTGTGCGTGCGCGTGTCCCACAGCTGGGTTTTGTGAAGGGAGCACAGCCAGGCTGAGGGCTGGGCCAGGACAGCAGGTTGGGGAGGGCCCATGAGCAGGTTCATGTAAGTAGAAGGCAGGGGACCAGGGTCCGAGTAAACCAGGCCCTCATTACCTCCAGCCAAATGCACATTGGCCTGTCTCCCACCCAGCCCTCACCCATTCCCTAAACCCCTGTTTGATCATGTCCTTCCCTCCCTCTCCTCCATCAGGTGTGTGTTTGTTTTAGTTTTGCTATAGGGCATGTGCTCTCACCAGAGAGAGTCAGAGAGAGAGAAAGAAAGAGTGAAAGTGAGAAATCACCCAGGGGGGATGGCCACACTGCAATCCCTTCTCCATTCTCCTCCAGAGATTTCCGACATGCATGTGCACACGCATGGCATGTTTTTTAAGCTGCTAGGTCTGGGACTTGAATCGTGCAGTCAACCATGTGGGATCTAGCACCTTAACCTCCACTCCACCTGCTGGCCCTCCACCAGGTCTTTATTCAGATGAGAGGTGGCCTCCCTGATTGCAGCCTCCTCAGCCCCCCTCCATGCCTTTTCTCCTTAATTCTCATCACCACTTGAGATCTTCTATTTGGCATGCGCTTTTGTGTTCACTGCTCACCTCCCCACTGAACGGTCAGCTCCCTGGGGCAGGCGTTCCTGTCTGCGCCATCCTGCTCTATCCTCAGCTCCTCCCAGGCCAAGAGTAGGTACTCCATAAATATTTCTTGACTGACTGACTGAATGAATGAATGTTGTCCATTCTTCCCAAACAAAATCCAAATTCTTCAGAGTGGCATTTAAAGCCTCTCAAACTTGACTTCTCCTTAGCCTAACCCCCACCTCTGGTTTCTACGCCCCTCTCCAATACGCCTGACGCTCCCTTCACTTTGCTGTATAGGCATGTCCTACCCACTTCCCACCTCGTTCCACAAAACCCGACCCACCCTTCAAGGCTGAGCTCCTTCTTACCTCCTCTAACAAGTCTTCCTTGATTGCCACCTCTTTCCAGCTAGAGGTGAACTTTCCCTTTTCCGAACTGTTACAGCACGGACTGCACAGTATGTACGCTCCAGCCCTTAGACACAGCCCTGTGTACCCATCTTATCTCTACTTGTAAGCTACAAACCCAAGAAGGCCAGAGCTGGGTCTCAGCACATTTCCCCCCCTGCAAAGAGTTAGCCAAGTACCTTGCACAAAGTTGGCAAATGAATGAAAAAAGTATCTCTAACATCATGCAACGGGGTAGGAGTGAAGGAATACAGAATACAGATGCTCTCTGACTTATGATAGGGTTACAATTTCCACTGCATGTGCTTAGTTTTTGTACCATTATAGTAAAAAAAAAAAAAAAGAGAGAAATCCTAAGACAAGTCATTGTAAGTTTCTTTCCTGTCTTCTACAAAACCTAAGGTAGGTGAGGCCAATACATTTGTCATACCCATTTGACAGATCAGGACACTGAGGCTCAAGAACTGAGACTAGGTTTTAGAAGACAGCTAGCCTTTTGGCTCCTGCTCCAGGGAGCTTGCCTCTTTGCCACAGAGTTTCCAGAAGCTACGAAAGCTTAGCTATAAATCTCAACTCTCATCACTCCTACTGTTAGATGTAGTTTAGGGTTAAGAATATTGCTTTGCAAGCTAACCTATACCTCAGGTCAAAACACAGATGTCAGAATGCATGTGTGTCCTGTATACCATGTCCTCTGTGCTTAAAGGTTAAGTTTCTGGGTTTTCAGGGCTCTGGAAAGTGAGCCATGGGGCAGGTAGAACCCCAACTTCCTTGCTGTTTGCTCTCATCCAATTCCTCAATACCCACAACACTGTTTTGTAGAACGTGGGACTGTGAGAAATGCTGCCCCTGCCAGCAATTTGAGGGGTTCCAAACCCAGCTAGCTTGCGGGACCCAGGCACTCGCAGCTCTGAGGCCCCGCCTGTGACCTGGACGCCCTTACAGGAGGCGTGGGTCCCCAGTCTTTTCCAGCATGGCACTCCTCTCCTAAGCCCAGGCTTTCGGTGCGTTCTGCCCATCCTGCGGTGTGCCCCAAGAAGCTGCGCTCCGCTCCTAGAGCCCAGGACCTTGGGCAGATCTGCGCCCCTCACGCACGCCTGCAGCAGCAGCCCTGCTCCCGCCCCGACGGGCCCCCGACCCAGGCGTCCTGCCCCCTGCTCTGACCCCGGGTGGCCCCCACGACCCTTCCCGGACACAGCCTCACCCCCACCCCCACCCGCGCACGCACACATGCTGATAACAGTTCCGACCCCCCGGCCGGAGCTGCAGAGTCCCGGGGCCAACCCTGGCCGGTCGCTGAGCCGCGCAGTCCTCCCGGACCTGGCCAGAGCCACCGCGCCGGCTCTCCTTCGACCCCGGACTCCGCCCAGCCCGCCCGGACTTGGCCACACCCACCGCGCCGGCTCTCCTTCGCCCCCGGGCTCGGCGCCCGCCAAGTGCCCGCGCCCCCTAGACAGTGGCCCCCTCCTTCAGGCCGGTGGAGCTGGCCCTGCCCCGCCGAGCTTTCAGGATGAGGGCTCCCAGAGTGGGCGCGGGCCGAGCCCCTGGTCGCTGAGGGCCCCGGCGAGGCGCGGAGATGGGGGTGCGCGGTGAGTACTTGCAGGCTGAGGTAGCTGCCGCCCGCCAAGCCTCTGTTTGAGGAGGGATTTATCACTGGGGCTATTGGCCGGAAGGTGGCTGGGTTCAAGGACCCCGGAAGGGAGAGGGGGTGGGGCAGGCTTCACGTGCCAGCTGGGTTGGGGTGTCCCCGTGAAAGGGCCCCGGCGAGGCGCGGAGATGGGGGTGCGCGGTGAGTACTTGCAGGCTGAGGTAGCTGCCGCCCGCCAAGCCTCTGTTTGAGGAGGGATTTATCACTGGGGCTATTGGCCGGAAGGTGGCTGGGTTCAAGGACCCCGGAAGGGAGAGGGGGTGGGGCAGGCTTCACGTGCCAGCTGGGTTGGGGTGTCCCCGTGAAAGGCAAAAACCTGACCTGAAGACGAGAACAAGGTTTAGGGGTCCGGGAGAGGCGCTGCTGTGTGAGTGGGGAAGGAAGCGATCAATAGCAAGCTGATACTTGGTCCTACAGCAAATACGGGATCTGTGAGGGAGGGAGCTTCTGTTACACCGGGATTGAAGTTTGGCCCGAGCAGTGGATGTCTGCAGCTGGGGGTGGGGCGCGCACTCGGCCGCGGGATTGAATGAAGGCCAGGGAGGCAGCGTCTGAGCGCTCGCGAGGTTGGGGTCAGGAGGGACTGGCTGGGGGCGGGGGCTGGGGCAGAGGCGCAGGATGAATGAGCCTGCCCCTCCACACCAGCAGTTCTGCTCCTCTGCCTGCCTCACACTGCACCTGACTCTCTTCTAGGATGTCCTGCCCTGCCGCTTCTGCTTCTGCTTCTGCTGAGCTTGGTGCTGCTTCCTCCGGGTCTCCCAGTCCTGGGCGCCCCCGCTCGCCTCATCTGTGATAGCCGAGTCCTGGAGAGGTACATTCTGGAGGCCAAGGAGGCTGAGAATGTGACGGTGAGACACCTCCTCCGCCCAGCACACCTCCACTGAACTCTTCTCAGGGCCGCAGGGTTCCCTCCAAGATCCAGAAATCTGGGTTCCTTGCTGGAACTCGGTTCAGGAGGCCAATGGGAAGCCAAACCCGCCCTCAGTAAGAACTATCAAGCCAATGGCCCACAAAGCGTACTAGGAAATTAGGTTAGGGGCAAAGCCAGGGCCTTGGGGGCCTTGACTCCCAGCGCTCTGCCTTTCAGATGGGCTGTGCTGAAGACGGCAGCTTGAGCGAGAATATCACCGTCCCAGACACCAAAGTTAACTTCTACGTCTGGAAAAGGATGGAGGTGAGTTTCTTTCTCCTTCTTCTTGGGAAGTCTCATTTGGAGAACCTGATAGCATAGAAGGGAGAAATGATAGAAGAAATGGAGCAGCAGGGACAAGGGCTTCATCAAATGTGTTCATTCACTTGTTCACTCATTTGTTCATTCATTCATTCAGTGAAACTTACTGCATACTTTCTCTTTGTTCAGTGAGGCTGCTGAGAGGGAGGAGAGCGGGGTATTTCGGGCCATCCGACTCTAAGTCTCTGCTCCCTTTAGGTCAGTCAGCAGGCTGTGGAAGTCTGGCAGGGCCTGGCCCTGCTCTCAGAAGCCATCCAACGGGGCCAGGCCCTGTTGGCCAACTCCTCCCAGCCATCAGAAACCCTGCAGCTGCATGTAGACAAAGCTGTCAGTGGCCTCCGGAGCCTCACCTCCTTGCTTCGGGCACTGGGAGCCCAGGTCAGTAGGAATGGACATTTCTGTTTCTGTGAGATAGGGAGAAAGGTTCTGCCAAGGAATATTGGGGCTCTCCTCATCCCTATCCCCATTCTGTCCATCATCCCATTTCCCTCCCAACCCTGGCCCTGTGATAACCTCCTGTTCTCTCCTTGGCAGAAGGAAGCCATGTCTCCTCCAGATGCAGCCTCAGCTGCCCCACTCCGTACATTTACTGTCGATACGCTGTGTAAACTTTTCCGAATCTACTCCAATTTCCTCCGGGGAAAGCTGAAGCTGTACACGGGGGAGGCCTGCAGGAGAGGGGACAGGTGACCGGGTGCCTTCACCGGGCTTGCTCCCCACCTCGCTCACTACTACTGCCTGTGCCACGCCTCCTCCCACCACTCCCAACCCCCTTCGAGGAGCTATCAGCTCAGCACCAGCGTATCCCCTGGACACTCCAGTGCCAGCGGTGACATGTCAGGGACCAGAGGAACTGTCCAGAGCTCACCTCTGAGATCTAAGGATGTCACAGGGCCAGCCTGAGGCCTTGGAGCAGGAGAAATTCAGAGATCAGCTTTAAACTCAGGGACAGAGCCATGCTGAGGAGACACCGAGCTCACGTGGTTCCTGCAGAACTGTGATGCCAGGAGAAGCTTTGGAGAAAAAGCCCTTTTTGCACCTACCAAGCAGGGGCAGGAGGGACTGGAGAACTTCAGTAGCAAGTTATGAATTCTTCAGGTCTCATGGGGACTCCCATGACAGCAAGAGGCCACTGCACAATGGGGGCAGTGGGAGTTGTGAAGATGGGATGAAGGCTGCTCCTGACTCTCATGGGGCCAAGTTTTGTGTATTTTCAATCTCACCAGTAAGACTGAAACCACCAACATGGCTCTTGGCTTTTCTGTTTTCTGGAAGCCCCCTACCTCCCTGGCTCTGTTCTCACCCTGGCAGCAAGGTGGCAGATCTGGGGAACCAGAGGTGGAGGGGTTGGGCCCTACGTGCTGCTTCTCACAGCCTGTCTGACCTCTTGACCCCACTGGGCCTGAGGCCACAAGCTCTGCCCACGCTGGTCAATAAGGTGGCTCCATTCAAGGCTACTCCTCAGTAGGCAGCTGCCAACCCTGCCCAGGACAAGCCTTTAGTGAGCTGCGGCCACCACTGAATGCCAGGAGCCAGGAGGAGAGGCCCCTTTGGGGGACTGGTGGTAGCTGCCACCCTGGCTACCAGACCTTATTATTCCCTGCCTCCTCCCTGTGGCCCCTTGGGCTCATGCTACATTCCCAGTATCAGCCTCCTACCTCTGCATAAAACCCTTCTAAATCCAACTGCCCTCCTTTCTTGTGGGGGACTGTCACCATGGATGCTGCACCCTGAAACCTGTGGAAGGGGCAGTAGACAGAGGTGCTGTCCATAGGAGTCAACTTCACAGACAACTGTCATATTATTTTTAAAGTTTATTCATTTCTTCCACAAACAGAGATAAAGATGAGACAGAGATATAACCCCCAGCAGGGTCTCGACACCATGACCCACCCCCAGCTTCAGCCAGCTCTGGATCCTGTGCACATGTGCCCCAGAGTACTCAGGAAGGTCTGCAGCTACAGCCTTAGAGAGCTTCGCGTTTCTCTCTGCGCCACTGCCCAGCCCGTTTTGCCGTGTTTTGGAGCACTGGCTCTGAGGCAGTGCTTCTCTAGGAGGTTCATTTAAGATCTCGTTTTATGCTGCTCACAACCCTATGAGAAAGTCACCACTGTGAGTCCCAGGGTGCAGATGCAAAAGTAAAATATCTTGCTCAAGTCCAAGGAAACAGGGATCTCAGGTGCTCCCCTCACCCCTTCCCTCATCTTATTCCTTCCACATAGGCCCTACCTGCTCCCCTACTCTCTTGGAGCACAGGACATGGGCAAGCTCAATCTTCACTCTTGGTTCCTACTTCTAATTTTATGGTTTACTGTGACAACAACGTTAGGTTCCTTCCCCAAAATGAGGTTCCCTCTGGAAAGGACTACCCAGGAGAGACCTGTGCAGACAGGAAAAGATGTCACAAAACTGAATTGGGACCTCAATCCTGGCCATTATTCCATACGTGGGAGCCCGTCTTTCTGCTCATATCACAAAACATAAAAGCAGTTGTCTCTGCTCGTACACAAAAGGGGAGAATGTTTTGGGATCTGCAGAGGGAAAAATTATGGATAGGATTGCGGGGACGGGGTTTGCAGGGTATTTGCCAGGTGCCTATTGGGGTGTGTGGGGGCAGGTGGGTGGAGCTGTGCTGGGAGGACCGAAAAGAGAATTTTGACTTTGGCCAACCTGGGCTACAGTGCCCTCTTCAGGTCCCATTGGGAACGGTCGGGGAAACCTACAGCAATAGCAATAGGCTCTGATAGGCCCTTGACCTGGTACATTTCAGTACACATCTGTACTGTGGTTTCCACATATGGCTTCTGATTCTAAATCAGTATGGGAGAATCCTTATTTTGCAAAGAATAAAACCGGTCCAGAAAGATTATAGGCCTTGCTCAGTTTCAGGACACTGGCATAGTGCTTAAGGCACTGGACTCTCACATGACCGACTACAGTTTGAGTCCTGTACCTAAAGTCTTGAAACTCATGCTGGGCACGTGTGCATGAGTCCACAAATCCTGAGAGGAGAATGGAGGAGAAGGGATTTCAGTGTGGTCATCCCCCCACGGGGGGGAGGGTGATTTCTCACTTTCTCTCTGTCTCTCCAGCCAGTGCATACACCCTCTAGTAAAAAACCAAAAAAAAAAAAAAAAAAAGGCACTGAGAGGAGGGGTCAGGACCAAATCTGAAGTAAGGCTCAGTAAGGGAGAGGAGAGAGAGATGGATGAATGATATGGACAAAACACCTGTGCCATGGGACTAGCAGTTAGTGTAATGGCTATGTCGCTGGACTCCCACGTAGTTGACTGTGGTTTGCATCCCGGACCCGGTGGCTTAAACTCACGCCGGGTGTGTGTGTGTGTGTGTGTGTGTGCCCAAGATTCCGAGAGGAGAATGGAGGAGAAGGGATTGTGGCGTGACCATCCCCTCTGGGGGGTGATGATTTCTCGCTTTCTATCTCTCTGTCTCTTTCTGTCTGTCTGGCAAGCGCATGTGCCCTATAGCAAAAAAAAACAAAAAACAAAAAACAAAAAACAAAAAAAAACCTCTCCAAAAAACAAAACAAAACAAAACAAAAACAAACAAACAAAAAAAATCTGTGCCTCTCCCATGACTGACTTTTTTTTTTTTTAGGAATTATTTTATTTAATTTTAGTCATCATCATCATTTTATTTATTCACTTATTTTTAAGTTGACCAGAGAGAGAGAAGGAAAGTGAGAAAACAAGTTGCAAGGTCCAGGACTTGAACCGCGGTCAGCCATGTGGGAGTCCAGCTCCCCTAACCACCACACCACCTGCTGGCCCCCCACTACTGACTCTTCCCACTCTGTTCCCTTCTCTGACCCCTCACACCCTCCCTGGAGAGATAGCAGGTGCTTACTGTTTTCTCCCCACCCAAGTCTCCCAGCACTAGGGACCAGCTCAGCCATCTCCTCCAGCTCCAGGTCTCCACCTGAACTCCAGTCTCTCTGCCTAGGGTACTCTCTGGGTCAAATCCTCTCCCTGGGCCAGAGCCTCAAGCTAACCAAATGTATCTGCCTGACTAGGGTCAGGATTTTATTAGAATTGCTCAGTCCACTGGTCTCACCACAGTGGGGGATTGTTGTTGGAGTTGAGTTAGCTAATGGGATCTTTTATAAAAAGTTTATATATTGTAACCAGCAGTTAGCATAGTGGCTATGTTGCTGGACTCCCATGTAGTCGACTGTGGTTCGAGTCCCGTACTCAGTGGCTTAAACTCATACCGGGTGTGTGTGCGTGTGTGCCCAAGATCCTGAGAGGGGAATGGAGAAGGGATTGCGGCATGGCCATCCCTCGGGGGTGATTTCTTGCTTTCTGTCTCTCTGTCTCTCTCTGTCTTTCTGGCAAGTGCACGTGCCCTATAGCAAAAAAACCTCTTCAAAAATAACAAAGTCTATGTATTTCTTCTGTGAGCAAGGGAGACAGAGACAAAGAGAGAAAGAGACAACACCCCAAACTGGGTCTTAATGCTATGATCCACCCCCAGCTTCAGCCAGCACTGGATCACGGGCACATGCATGCCCAGCATACTCAGGGAGGCCTCCAGATGCAAACCGAGAACGATTCCAGGTGGGCCGGCCTCACAGTATCATGTTTTACTTCTGCACCACCATCTAGCCCCTAAATGGGGCCTTTTACATATTGGGATCTAGACTGGATGTGAATTTTGTTATTTCACTTTGACCAAGGGTAATTCCACTAAAATTTCATTAGAAAACTGTGACATTATGGGACCAACAGATGGCATAATGGTTATGTCACTGGACTGTCATATGGCTGACTGCAAGTTGAGTTCCAGACCTGGTAGCTTAAAACTCATGTTGGGGGCCAGCAGGTGGTATGGTGGTTAAGGTGTTGGAATTCCCACATGGCTGGCCATGGTTTAAGTCCTGGACTTGGCAGCTTGCTTTCTCACTCTCTCTCTCTCTGTCTTTCTCTGGCAAAACTCATGTGAAAAATAATATTAACAATAATAATAAATAAATCTTAAAAAAAAAACAAAAACAAAAACCTCATGTTGGACGTGTGTGCGTGCATGCCCAAAATCCTGAGAGGAGAATGGAGGAGAAGGAATTGCAGCATGGCCATCACTGCAGGGGGTGATATCTCGCTTTCTGTTTCTGTCTCTCCAGTGAGCACACATGCCCTACAGCAAAAATCTCTTTAAAAAAATTTTTAAAAAGCCTGACATTATAAAAAATGATTGACAATAGAAAAACAGCAGAACAGTCTCCTGATGTATGCAAGTCATGCCCAAATATCTCAGAGCTCTCTTTTTGATTTAAAAAAATGTATTATTAAGATATTACGTGGGGTGTCCAGCAGATGGTGTAGTGGTTAAGGCACTAGATTCCCACATGGCGGACCATAGTTTGAATCCCAGACCTGGCCACTTGAAAATCATGTCGGGTGTGTGTGCGTGCATGCTGCACAAAACCCTGAGAGGACAATGGAGGAGAGGGCATTGTGGTGTGGCCATTTTCCTGGAGGAGGGGTGATTTCTCACTTTCCCTCTCACTGTCTCTGTCTCTCTCACAGGTGAGTGCATGTGCCCTATGGCAAAAGATCTCAAAAAAATAAAAAAGATTATGCAGGGTCAGCAGGTGGCATGGTGGCTAAGGTACTGGACTCCCACATGTCCACCACCTCCTGCACTACTGCTGTCTGTGCCATACCTGCTCCCACCACTCCCAAACCCCATTGAGGAGCTATCAGTTCAAGGACACTCTGGTTGGCCTACGATTAGTGATTCAAGTCCCGGACAGGCAGATTGAAAATCATGCTGGGCACATGGATATGCATTCCCCAAATCCCAAAAGGAGAATGGAGGAGAAAGGGTTGTGGATGGGCCACCCCCCTGTGAGGTAATTTCTCACTCTCTGGGTCTTTCTCTGGTAAGTGCATGCACCCTATGGCAAAAAAAAAAAAAAAGAAAAAAGAAAGATTATGTGACCCCCCCCCCACACACACATATATACAGATTTCTGATTTTATTTATTTATTTAGAAGTTTTTGTGTTAGGGCGTGTGCACTCGCAGAAGAGAGAGAGAGAGACATAGTGAGAAGGAAAGTGAGAAATCACCCCCCAGGGGGATGGTCATGTAGCAGTCCCTTCTCCTCCTGGGTCTTGGGCACACACACACTCATACACACACATGTGCGTGCATGTGCGCACGCGCACGTGCTTGGTATGAGTTTCGAGCCACGAGGTCTGGGACTTGAACTGTGGTTGG